CATAGAGAGACAATTCTCGGCCAATAAAATAGCTTCTTTCGAAGAACAGGATGATATGACAAAAAATGAGAGTTTTCGAATAATGGGATAGATCCTCTCGGAAGGTATGAAAAACATTTAGTCATTTAGCATAGGATAGGAATTTCAAAGCAAGTAGGGCATTCATGGTGTGGCGTGTAATGCATGTTAGCATAAATCTTACGATGAAATCAGTAGGTTAGAATGAGCATCATACTTTGAAATTTACTAATATGCACAGAAAAGGTAGCTGCCTGTGACTTATGTTCAATTTTTTTCTTCTGTAGAGAGCATGCAACTTCGAAAAAACCATCTGCATTTCCTTCCGGCAGCCGTGAGTCATGCTTCGTATCGAAATCTTCAAGAGTATTCAGTTAGCGCTTCTGAAGTACATGCATGCTCTTCTTTCCTTCTATCTGAGTGAGGATATTCGTGAATAACCATGCAAGGACGGTGGCAACTGTAACGGTAAGTGCTCAAGTACATGGTAAATGTAATGGTGATATACATGGCAACTGCAATGGTAAATGTACATGCATGCTCCTCTATCCAACTGTAATGCTCAAGCTGAACGTCATTTCATTCACTTCTGTAGTAGAAGCCTTTGGAAACTCAGGTCGCTCCACCTAGCAGTCAGTAGAAACACATAATATCTCGACAATGCTTCATATAATAGCTCGCTTGATTCTGTTTCTTCCGGAATGTGATTCTGTTTCTTCCGGGAAGATATTCTTCCGAAATGTGTTCATGTCATTTTGTTTTTAATTACCCGATTGGATGAAGACATTGAAATCCCGTGTTTAAGTAAATTTTACGTAAATATTTGTATGATTGTTCTCTTGCTGTTATTGTTGTTCATACACAAATTTCTGTTCCAGCACTTTCCATTTCAATCGCTTGCGAAGGCATTATTTTTCCTTATGAAGGTTTAGTTTAAGTTACAATCTCGAAAACTAAACAATGAATTTCCCTGAAACCTTCTGTGCTTGTAGAGAATTCAATTCTCTTTCCAATGTACTACTTGGCATTGACCGATCAAATCTCTGTTCCGACACTTTTTCCACTTCAATTGATCACATCACTTTTATTTGATTGAAACTTCCCTGGTTAAACTTTTACTACTCCAGAAATGAGCCAATTCTTGTAGCCAGTCTTTGTTTGAACGTGGAAAATTTATTTTCCTTCCCAATGACACCTCATGTACACATTCAGGTCAGGTGTAGCTTTGAAATACGTTAAATTCCTGTGCCTCATCGATGAATTAATTCGCCCTATTGGATCTCTTTTGCTCTGTGCTCTACCTGACCGCGTCGCTTCAAAAGTGCAATTTGGCTTCTGTTGCCAACCGCCATAAATCGCCTTGATTTATTCCCGTTCAATGGTTAAGAAATTCATTTTCCTTAACCCATATCAAATGAAAATGCGAATTCCGTCACTTGGCGAATCATCACTCTGTTCGTACACGGCGAACTGTCAGCATTCCGTTCGCTCTATATTATATTAGGGTGACCGACAAATGCGTTTAGGACAATTCTAAGTCGGACAAAAAACGCCATACTACTCAGTGATAAGGCACGAGTTATCATAGACTTTCACGATGCAAATTGTCCAAGTAGCACTTGCCGTCGAGCAAATTGTCGTAGGCCCTATTACTCTGGGAACACGATAAATGACCAAGCGACAAGGGGGGGGGTTTAGTCTGAGGTTACGCTTAGGCTTAGGCTGAGGCTGCGCTTAGGCCGAAGCTAAGCCTCAGTAATACGCGTTTCATATCACACACACACAAAGTGGTCAGCATGCGTTCGCAATGCTCAAAAAGCGAGCCTAAACGAAGTTTGTCTGACTAACTACGTGCTGGACAAATGTCGTGCTTACAATTGTCGCTGGGTCATTTGTCGTAGACCCATTGCCCTTGTCCAGTCTGGCACAGGAACATTGCCAAATTCCGAAGCATTTTTATCATTGTCGTTTAGCGGTACTCTCGTACTGAAGTACCGCTCGAAATTTGCTTTTTGTTTTCTAAAAGGAAACGACGAATGTGGTGAATAGTGAAAAGGGTGTTGAGGAAATGTCGGTGATAAGAACTTAAGTGGAAAGGATTGCAGATTGACGAGTGATATTTAGTGCGCCGATATCCGGTGTGAACTTACGGTATCGCACTTGTGTGTGGTGGTGTCAGTGAATATTTTGTCGTGAGACGACTTCATTCTTTCGTTAAAACATACACAAGTGAAAACTCCTTCCCGAATTCCAGTCGAAGTCTTGTATGAACCGCCGTCAAAATGTCCATGTTTGGTATGGACGACAACACAAAATGCCTCCTGATTCAAGAAGTTTATCAGCGTCCGCTTTTGTGGAAGGTTTGTTTGGTTTCTTCCTTGTACATTTCTAGGTTTTTTTACCAGCTTTCAACTGAACGCCATAATGCCAGATTGTAATGTTCGTTGTCAATTTTTCAGGCATCTGATCCGCATTATGCAGATATTGCTGCACGTTGGGATGCATTCAATGAAATTGCTCAAGCACTCAGCGATGACGAAGTGAAGTTCTCATGTGCGTAATTGAATTGTTCATTCACTCGCGATTTATTTCACTTCTCATTTATTTCACTATTTCATTTATTTCATTCATATATATA